AATTTAGCATTTATTAAAGTATAATCCACTGCGTGTCCCGTTGTGGGGATTAATGTGTGGGAATATTCCTTAATATACAAAAACACCAAAACTCATTGCCGAGCAAAAAGAAAAAAAAGTTAAAAATTTTTTGAAATTGTTCCCGGTTTTTGAAAGACAAGGCCAGTTCTTAAATTTGGCTTCACCTGACTTTCATCAACTTAAGGCTAGATTTCCCGTTTCTGGAAGGGATACTTTTTCAATTTTTTTGTCTATATTGGTGTTCTGCCCAATCATAATATATGAAAATATAGGGTTTGGTTCTGTCTTACCAGGACATTAGTCCGACATTAGACAATTTCCCCGTTTGCCGAAATTCGGTCCATTCTCCCTAAGTATACTGAACTAAAAAGACAGTTTTCCTTACTGAAAGTTTTTCTAAGGATTAATTCCAATCATTAGGTCAAAAAACGTAACCAAGGCTATGCTAAATTACCGAGTCCAATTCCGTTCATGCTTTTGCCTGAATTACCTCATCTACCGAAATTTTATTTTCTGAGCGTTACCTACGGAGGTGGTTTTTAAAATCGAGTCTTTTGTCTATTGCTGCTCTGGCCTACTTTATATAACATGCAGTTTTACTCCGGGTTGCTTAGTTAATCCACGATGATAATATCATGTTTATACTGCTTTGCGGGTTTTTTAAAATTTGTGTAAATTGTCCAGCGTATTAATCTAAACATTTCCGTGATATTACTAGTTGTAAACCACCGCGAATACGTCACCTTTGCGATTCTATTATACGTCTTTTAATCACATAGATCAATATGAATCTCTGCATTGAAAAAAAGACACCACTTCCGCTGGCAAATCGTACATCAACAGCAACCCAGAAGATCGACGCCCATCCCAGCTCTTTTCAGCAAATAGAATTGTCTTTTCAGTGCCTTGCACGACATGGCCCCCTTCCGTCATAAAATGGCCCAGTAAAACTGGTACATTTTTGTAGAAGAACTGGCAAAGTAATAAGAAGAATTCAAAAAATGTAGACCTTTGCCGTTCTACTACTTTCAAAGGGATTAGGTATGTTCAATAATAAGCAGTGTTTGAGAGGCCACACTCTTTGTGGACCGGAACAGGTGTGAAAATATGGCGTCGATGTCGAGATAAGCACTATTTCAGTCAAATTTGAGTACAGTTTACTAAACAGTTAGAAGAGCATTAGGTTTTTTAGTAATTAGACCTCAACTTGAACACGCGAAAGTGCAGAACGAGATTATTGCCAACGAAAAGGGAAACTGGGATGACCTCTCCTTGGCTTATTACCGTGTTAGTCTACTTTATCGGCTTCCTGTCGCTAAACGGGTCTCATGTTCTGGTATTTATGTGCCAATTTTAATCATCCGAGCCCATAGTCTCTTAAGCTTTTGCTTCCAAGACCTGGCTTCCTATTATATTCCTGTCTATACTTCTTCTGATGGCAATCTAATCAAGTACCCAAAATTGTATTACGTTCAAAGTAGGGCTCCATTGCCAGGCTCCTCAGATATTTACATAAATTCCAAAATCAGATCAGAATAGAAAACTATTCTTTTCGCCGTTTCCCGTAGCACATCCGTCATCTTCAGAGTCTGATAATTAGATATTTACATAAATCCCAAAATCAGATCAGAATAGAAAACTATTTTTTACGCCGTTCGCCGTAGCACATCCGTCATCTTCAGAGTCTGATAATTATCCTTGCCCTGCTTATTCTACGCTTTCGAATATGCACTCATGTTCGATTTAGGCGATTAAACATTTATATGAAACCAGTGATATCTCTTGAAACCCAAAAAACTGTAGTGGTTCGAATTTAAAAGATGTATTCCCTATTTTACACTTCTAAGGCCTTGAAAGATATCCTTTATACAAATTTGCCTACCTGATGGACCGTATGCATTTACCATGCCATAATGGACTACTTTTCTGTTAAAATTCATTTGTTTCCTCTTCATCCAAACTTTATCATTCACCTTCTACTGTCGGTATTTTAAAATCTTTAATGCCATGTTGTCCACAGAAAAAAACTGGTACATAATAAGAATAACTTAGACTCACTAAATCAGAACTTGGCATTCCTTGTAATTGATTTTAATTTTCTCTCAAGTGGATTTTCCTTAGCACTCAGGGCCATCAATGTGTTCATGGCTGCTATAGACAAGCGCCTTCAAACGGTTTCTGAATCAAGAACTGCTGGACTGGATGTAGTTTCCCATTTCTCCCTAAGTTCTGCTTTACTCCGATAGCACCAACTTTAACTAATTTTCATTAATGCGTCGTTTATGATGGTTAAATTGTTCTGTGCTTGAAATTCTGAGGGGAACCCTTCACATATTCCAAAGATCTAATGGTGCGGTTATATAGAGCTGTCGGATATTTCCATATCTAAAATAATCAACTACTCACAAATTTTGAGTAGGTTGCATTACCTATAATCTTCCGGTTTTCTACACGCCGCCCATCGTTCCAGCTGGGATTTGCTGATAGCATTGAACTGCAGAGCAATTCTTCGAAGGCAACCTCATTCCATAATTGCTATAATCGGCAAACTAAGAAAAGTAGGCCTCTTGAACTAACCACGGGAATTATCGCTTACTTGCAATTTTTAGGTAGGGTGATTTACATAATCTCGCCACTTTTGTTCTTCTTTGAACTTTTTCCCAGTAGGTGTTGGTGATACCACCGGCAAATGTCTCTCAGTTACCTCGCCTGAGGTTTGGGCACACTCCCCCTCCATATACGCGTTCGCCGTTGGTCGGGAGGGGGGTTAGCGATGATATTAAAGCTACCTTCAGTGTCTTCTCCCAAGGTTTTTTTGCCCTCGTAACTTTTTTATTTAACAAAACCATTGGGATCTGATTTGTTCCCTGACATGCCCCGGCCGTCCCCTCCCCAAAAATCAGGTGAACGTTAGCCCGCGGGGCGCGCTTCACACTTTGTTCATACGACCCCACGATATAATCTTACCGATCTAATAATGTCAGCCTTACATCCTTTCCTCCGCTTACTTTTTTTTCGCAGTTTTAACCTCAAAGATTGGTTATTATCATGTCACGTGTCTACAATTTGTCGGATCCCTCACTATTTGCATTAAAAGTCAAAGGGAGACCTTATTCGCCATATCCTTTTGGTCTAAGTGGCTTCAAAAAGGATTTAATGATGTATTTTCCGCGCATTACCTTACAGTACGTTACCCGTGGCATGCAATATGTCAAAAATGACCCAAGTTTGCTAATCACCGCCAAACGGGCACCAACGAAATTACCAAAGCTTTGAAATAAAAATAAAAGAATATAAAACGTAAAAGTATTGTTATATTTTTTTCAAAATACTTCTTTTTCATGAGACAGATTCCATATCGTATGCGTATTTGTGCGTATTGTGGTTATTTGTCTGTCTTCAATATTGTTTTAGACCAATTTGTCTTTCAGAATTATCCAAAGGTGGCTCTCAAGGTTGTGTTTTGATTTGATTTGCAAAGTATTTTCTTCAGGACACCCGTTTTTCCGGCTGTCACTTGCAAACCCATCATTTTTTCTAATAGATAAGGAGTGCGTCTGGACTACCTTGTATCCTCTCACACCCTTTCGTTCCAATCCGACGATATAAAATTGCCCAGTGACAGTCAATATTTGAATAACGCAATGATGGCGGAACATGCTAACTTCTTTGCCGCAAAATTTTCGTGGCTCCTTTTTTCTATTGATCGCAGTCATTACATATTTAAAAAAAGCTAGCGATCCAATAGGAAGGCAATCGATGAAGAGAAAACGGAATAAGGCCGATATGTTAACTGTATGGCGTCATTGTATTGTGTATCTTTGTTATCTTCGCCTTATGCAAATTCATTTTAAAACAATGGATCGATGGTTTATATAATGAGTAATGAGTGAGTATATGTTATAGAGCACTCAGTCAAGTATGGGGCTGGATCCCAAATCCTTATGTAAGGCCCGCATCATGTAACATATATTATGCTAGGTAACAGTTGCCTACCTAGTGTGCAGAAGCCAGTTTAGTGAGATTTTAGCCTGTGATGGCTCCCCATTTCTAAATGCACTTCGTTTTTATCTTTCTAATAACGTGAAGTTACCTTATCCTCTAGTCTCACATGATCGCTTCATTTTAAAAATTGTCTTTGTTCTACCGCTTCCGTATGCGGATACATAAGTGATAATTTATGGGGTGTTTTTCTGGATTTTCTAAAGTTTCTGTGACTGGAGTCCAGAATTTAAGCTTCCGGTTGAAAGCACAGAATTCGTGCTGTTCATGTCAACATTTTTTTCCTTATTCCCGCTATAATGTTACTTGTATGCTGTTTATGCTGACTGGAAAATATTTTTGTTGAGCAGTTAAAAATAACGCCTTCAAAATAAATAATGAAACTTATCTCTCAGTTCACACTTTCTATCAGATTTTTATATTATTTACAGAGTACACATTTAAACACTGCGCCCATTAGAATAAAGCAATAATTAATTTTCAGTTGGACCTATTTTATCGGCGTAGACCCAGTTACCTTCCTTGTGCCAATTTATTTCCCCTAAAAACGACAGCAAAAATTGTTAGTCATCTATTCATTACGGAATTATGACGCATGATGGATGGTTCAACACACAAATGCTTTCTAGAACACAACAAGCAGCTGTTATTCAATAGACCATTCAAAGATATGGATAATGAATTTTTAAATATTGCTGAAAATGATTGATGCATCGTCTCACTCAGCTTGCACGTTTGTAAGTTAACCCATTGAGAGGCAAAATTCAAAAACGTCATGTTTAGGACTCCATAAATGAAGAACGATCGAAGTAAATGCTCGATGATAATAATAGATAATTCGCTTGTATTCCCCTTGTTATCACACCTCGAACTTGAATAGTAATATCTATCCATTATTTATTTTTTTAATCGCCGTAAGCTAGGATTTGATCCCCAACATTTTGTCTGTAATCAACGGTCCATGAATGTTCAGGTAGCTTCATTTTACTTTTCATCATTAGGAACGTGTCCCTGTCAACACTTGCGATCATAAGCACACTCTTTAGAAGATTACAGAGTGTTAGGGATAACTTTTGTCTTAGAATTATTTCTAATGAGCTATTGCTGTGATAACTTACGGGGCAGTGGCCGATTGAGAGGACAGCTTTGGAGGGGTCGCTGTTGTACTTGAATTAGGTAGAGCCGTAGTGTGCTGATCTGGAAAAACGAGATTTCCCAATGTTGTTGTGCCTTGAGAGAAAACGATTTTCGGACATACTGTCAACGGGAGTTTTCCTGCAAACTCTAATTGGGGCAGGTTGCTTAACTTTTTCTTTAGGTCTGCCCGTGTCAGGAGAATGTCAATGTCCTGCCCTTCGAGCAACTCGGAAACCTCCGTTTGCACCGATTCTAGGTAGGCAACTTGGCACTCCCATTCTGGGACACGTTCAATCGTTTGAAGCGTTGACCGTCCAACTTGCTGGTGCAGCTGCTCTATCAATGCATCCTCCTGTTTATGAATCTGAGCAATAAAGAAAAGCAAATCAGAGCGGTTAATGCTTATGCACGAAGAGTACTAATCTATAGCCTATTTAATAGCCCAACTGTATGTCTAGCGAAAATATGTAGAAAGTATCCTCAGATTCATCAGAAGTTAGCTTTTCAGAAAAAAAAGAGCTCTCCAGTAGTTTATTGATTCCTTCAGCAGACATTTTTGGCCAATTTGTATTGAATAGTCCTTACTAATTCGTTTTCTTCCTTCTCACATAAAAGCTATGGGTTTTAAATGTTAAGCTGGTGAGCATTTATAACGAACTTGTTTCTCATATGCTTCTGCCTTACTACCTTACAAGGCGTTTTAGTTCTGACAAACAGCAAAAAATGTTTGGAACCAATATTATCAAGATACAGTGATAATAAATGAAAACAATCCAAATTTCTTAACAATAAAGTGCCTCAGAAGAGAGCACGATGTCATACGGATCTCTGATAACGACGCGGAATGATAAACTGGTCTGAGTGTCCTCTAACCTTCTATAAACTGGAGGTCACGTGCAGAAAATGTGGCGGCTGGTATGAACGATTGCTCGGCAAACGCTTTCAGGGGCAGTGCTTGAGAAAAAATCCTCTATCCTCTTGCAAAAAAATAAGATTTGCCGTTTGTTTAAAATTTTCAGCACTAACACAGAACGTCTTCAGAGTCATACCACTACCTTTGTTGCAGTACCTGCTTCCCTGTCATCAAGCCCCTTCTACGGAAATAAGTATGGAACATCTTGTTTTGTTGGTCCGTAGGCAAGCACGTAAACCTTAGTGTGCGATGGTCGTGAATCGCACCCATGTATTCACCATTTTTGACGACTGTGAGTCATCTAGTCACTGTCTCAGCTAGCATTAACATTCCATTAATCACAACGCATGTGCGAGACGCTAAAGAGACATGCCCCTATTTTATGTTGCCATGATCTTGGGTCGCATAAATATCAGGTCTTTCTCTTCGAAGGCGGTGCGCGAAGTCTGTTACGGTTTGCGGCAGAGGGAGAGAATCAGTATGGGATATTAGTTGACTCCCGCTAGATCACGATTTATTTTTCAGAGCTTCCGTTTTTCGCCTATTTTTTTCGCAGAAAATACCTAAAATATACGCTCAATATTTTCACATATTCTTTTTACCAAATAATAGTTGTAATAAAGGTAATAAAATAATGTTCAGATATGAAATGTGCGTGCGGTACTTTGATCAATTTTCGCCTTGGTAGGTGTAATAGTTGTAGGTGTGATCATGTCTAGGCTAAAGCCACATATTTTCAAGGCAAACTATGAAGTAATAATAAAGTATTTTTGGAGGACAGTTTAACGTATATTTGGGAGTTGGACAATAGAATAGGCAGTTAAAGGCGCTTATAAAGGGATCTCAGTTATTCACCGAGTTTAGCTATTCGCCATCAGTTGTGGTCCCTAGCCCTACGAATACCAGGGATCGATTGTACCTAAATGATGCTCATTGCCCGACACACCTATGTAGTTTGATTTATCTTAGCAACTGACGTTCTCTCCTCTGACAGTCGCTGGTATGTGCGTGCAAATACTCGGCACATACATCGATAAACGTTATTAATCGCCTGTCGGGAACAAACAAAAGCATCGGACGCGTAATGTTATGAAAAGGCGGCGTTATGTGGGCGCAGGGCATTGACATTCTTGCCCCCTTTTTAATAAGTCAATAAGCCCATATGTATGGTGGCATTTTCCAGTATTTTGGTACTGCATTTCAATGGAAACGTGGACTACTGAAATGGCTCTATGAAGGCAATGTAGTGGTGCTGTCTATGAAAGTGCACTTAGTAAATTACAATGCATTTGCTACTTTTTTAGTACACTCCGTTAAGGTTTTGGGCGTGATCTCTCTCTGAAGAATTTTAAAGGTAAGGTGTGTTTAAAAAGACATCTAATGTAGAGTTTTTCTTGGTAAATGTCCAAAAATTGTAGCCCATTTTCAACTAAACTAGTGCCTTACTGTCAAGCTTGATTAAATATTTTTCCTACTGTCAGTGGAAAAGTTGACGGAATAGAAGTCTGTATTAGGCATCAAGATTGTTAAGGAAACAAGTTAAATTATGAAACTGCTATTGGATTTTAGCAGTGACTAATGATATTGAGCTTACACTTCCCTGTTAGATTCTTAAATGAAGAAAAGGGGTATTCTAAACTCACACTGATATCTTTGGTATTAAACTAGGTATAAGGTAAAAAACATAGGGAGATCGGAATCAGAATGAATATTTCGCTACATTATCTAAAATGGTCTCCAAGGCTCTTAGCGTTATCGATCTACTGAACGCGGTGTGTGATATTACTTACCGTGAAGTCGATGTGTAAAGTTTATCTATCTATTCTTTTAGAAGCAACTTTTGGGTCTTGAAATTGAAACGCACAACTCCGTGATTATTCGTGCGGTCTATTTCCTTCCTTACTGAGTATTGGGCTAAAAATGAAATAAATATCTCAGCATATGCTGATATTTTGTCTGGTTTGCCAATTTCTCTTGAACACGTCCAAAGAATCAGTTCTTGGCGTGTAGAAGTATAAGTGTTCTTTTTATCTCCTTTGCTTCGCACTTGCACCCTCGGTAATAAACGTGAGGTTCCAGCTTCCAAACAAACTTTTGTTTTGAAGTAATTGCCATAGTAAAATATCAAAGTGGAGCAACACGGAGGACAAACAAAGAAAGTTAATATTTATATCCTTTATGAAAATATGCATTTACCTAGTTTTGGAAGGACAGTTTAGTCAGCAGACCTATAGCGTCCTCCCGCTGGGGTAATTGCGGTGGGCTTGGCGAGAATAGCGGACTAGTGAATTTCGTGACTGCCATCCGTGCTGGAGGCACCATTTACTTGCACTAAAACTTTTCTATAATAAATTAGACTTCAGTGCATTTATCCTGCTTCATATTTTAAAGTCCATCCTGTTCCTGTGGTAATACAGCGGGAGAAGGCTTGAGTGAAGTGTCGGACAAAACTAACTTCTCTGTGTACGCGTGGCACGCAAGACCTGGTCCGTAAACACCACATCATAAAGACTTGCGAAGTATAGTAATTGTATCAGAATCTGTGTAGGGCTTTTATGATCAGCCAGTTTACTGAGGGGGAGGCAACAGGTTGTATCCTCTCGTTTGGAGACGTGAATATCCAAAATATCAATAACAGTGGTCTCACAACGAGCTCTAATGCCGACTTCATCCCGAATTATGAAAACAGCTATTCTGCGAACCATAAAATAAGGTGCGTCCGAACCCTTTTCTATCAGGCCTTTCGGTACTGCTGCAGTGACCATATACTATAGAAAGGGATGGCTTACTTGCATTCCGGTTACTCGTGCAAATTTTTAAAAAATGTTCGCCGAAACCGGAGAAAACTAGGAATTTGTGACTGATGGAAAAATAACGCTGCGGAAATTCTACTTTCTAACCTACATGCAGTCAATATCGGAAGTGATCGCCCAACTGTGAAAACAGTTTTGCATTTCCATTATCCACAACACGGTGGCATCCCTATGCGCGGCCCTATCTTGAATAAAATGTCCCGTATCTAAAGAGTAGAAAACAAATGTTCTATGACGTAATCCATATACTATCTAATTATGAGCTTACGTTGATCATAGGGGTTCGCATGAATGGATAGTAGCTAAGCATCCACCAGCCCTTGAGTGCGGCCATCGCTCCAATAATGACGGAACTGGAGAGATCGTTATGGCTAAAACCCAGCAGGCCTATAAATTCAACGAAGCGTAGTACTCTAGCACGACTGCCATCAGCTGCCATAGCGATGTGGGCGCTCCCTAAGAGGCTTTGCGTGCATGGCTCATTGACCTGCGTCCACGCCCTAGTAAGAGCTGCTAACCTATGCTCAGTCATGTAGAAATTCACTGTCTCACCACTTCCTTCCCCGGGCATTACGAACAACAGCTGGAACTCGTACAATCTCAAACCTTGACTTAATCACTCCTGCCGCAATCCCGCATCTACGACCACTAATTCAGCCGCCTCCCATCCTACTTTATCGCCATCCCCCTGTATCTCCGTAATAAGAATCTTTAACGGTGTCACCCTCCCCTCTCTCGCTCCCAAACCTAACGTATTTATACCTAACCCGCTCGCAGGCCACTTTTTATTACTGTCGCTGTCTTTCCTGTCACGTCAACCGGTCTAATCTGAAGATTTTACGCTCTCCTCTGTGCTTTTTGTCTGACAACGGGGCGCTGTCACCAACTTGAAAATGTACGCGTTTAACTGGAGTTGTCCAATGTATCTGCTGATGCTCTCATTAAACTCCTAGACCTTTGTCTGGAAACCAACTTTGCCATTGACTAGCCATACTATTGACCAGGGAAATGCACCCCTATGGATTCGACAATAGCTGGCTCTTTCGTAGAAACTGTAATGCAGAAAGTAGAAGATGCAAATCTTCCAAGAGCAAATTCGGCAATGTACTTGTGCTGCGTAGACTATATATTTGGTATTTTCAAGAAGATCCATAAAAACTACTCCACGACACTATTATGTCCATGATTCCAGGAATTCAGTTCACCTTCGAGACGAAATTAAATGCACGACTCCTATTCCTTAATGTTTTTGTACACATAAGGGCTGTCGGAAAAATTTTAAAACTCAGTTTATCACAAGAATAATAGCTCTGAGGTCAGCGGGGTTTTGAGAGCAAACGCCCCACCTCCCGCAAACGCCGCTGCGTAAACAGCTTAGTAAATCGGGTTAAAGCTTATTGTTCTGATAAATCTATTAAGCAGAAATAAAATATATTTGCAAACGTTTTCTGCAAAGGGCTATCCGCCGGACTTTGTACCAGTGTATATTAAAGAAGCGCAATTCGAAAAGAAAAAAAGTTTCTAACGCCACGGCTGCCCAGGCACGGAGTGCAACCAGTTGGCGAACTATTCCATATGCGAAGAACGTCTCTGAGCTTGTCGAAAGGCAGCCGAACAATATCAGATGCAGGTAGAACAAGACCCCGCAACTACTCTACGCCTCTATCTTATACATCCATAGAAAAGGTGTTGTCTTCAAATCCGATGTACCAGCAGTGATGCGGTCTATCAGACTTAAGTGCAGCCAGTGATCAGCCAGGTAAATCTATCTCCGCTCGTTTACCTAAGCATCAGTTAATGATAAGAACACGGGAACATATATTCCAATTGACCACACACACTGGACATTGGGCACAAATTTGGAGGGTAGAAAATGTGCATCGCTTGTCTCTGTTCAATAGGGAGAGATAGAAAATAGCTAGAGGTGAGACGGCATGCGTCAGATAACATATCGATTAAGATGTCCCATATAAATATCTCAAGGTTAAGCGGATACTAGCGCGGTGACCTGCTAACCGGATGGTGACTTACAATTTAAACGTGCAGACGCAAGCTTCAGTCAACCACAGAGTAGCTTGTTAGGCACGGTTAAAGAACTAACTGCTTTTGTACTTGATCTACAGACCTGACGACGAGCTGGAACACCAATCTTGAAAAATTCCGCAAAAAAATGTTTCCTTCCCATAGAATGTTTTATCATAATTTTTTGATCACGTGGAGGATGGCTGCACAGGCCTTTGGACAACAAATGAGGGAAGAAGAGACGGAATTAGGCAATAGAGAAAGGTCGCAACAAACCTTAAAAATGATATAACTGACTAACTTAAATACAAGACATATCAATATTATAACTCCCTACCTCGCGCTCCCACCTGGCATTAGGATAGGGGTAGCTAGGATTGTTGTAAAAGCCCTTGCTTGATCAGCATAGAACATTTGTATTATAGACCAATGAGAAATAAACAACGGTTTGAGGACAAACATTAATATCAAGAAGCCTACACAACTCTAGCGGAATCAGTTGTGGATTAGAAAGGTTAACTTTTCATCTCATATCAAATAACTCCCTGGAGATATGTAAAAATAAATTGCAATGACTAAAAGTTGTTAGTTCTCTGGGGATAGGAAGCACGTGGAAAGCTAAGCCGTTGTGCGGAGTAATGGTGTGAAAAACTTTTATCAGATTACTTACCTCGTCTATCGTTCTGTCAGCATAAGACCGAATCTCCGACTC